CTGTTTTGGCTTGACACCTCAAATTTACATTGCTGCAAAGAAACACCATCATGAAGCAACTCAGGGTGTTCAGGAACTCCACCATAAGTTACAGATATGTGGTTTAAGACTCATAACAATAAAAAATGAAACTATCACAATCAAAGACCAAACTATCACAATCAATGATCATGGGTTTTCAGTGCATGTGATCATCTTTGATCGACTCTTCCAGGCAAAAGGGCGTATACCGACCCTACTTCTTCCTCTTCCTCCTCACTTTTCGGGAGCGGTTGGTCTCCCTCATAATTACCATTTGCTGACTGGTGCTGAGCAAGGAATGAGGGAATGAGCTCCGAAATACAGGTACTTTGGGATCCAGTCCCTCATTCTCTACTAAACCCACCATCTCTTCCACCCACTCTTCCCCACCCGCCTGCGGCTCGGGCGGAACCTCCGGGGACACCTTCGCGGATGGGTCATCAGTCGGCTCAGCTCCACCGGAGGGGTTGGTGTCGGCCTCGGGCGAGCGAGAGACGGACGGAGAGACGACCGGGAGAGGCTCGATTGTTTGGGCACAACCGGTGGAACTTAGACCTTGAAACATCACGATGCCTCAAGATCTTATGTATATTATATAACGATGCCCGAAGATCTTGTGTATATTATCTATATACATGTGTAAAAATGTATGTGTATATATATATTATATTGTGTAGACATATGTGTTGTATATGTAACATATGTGTTGTAAACATATGTGTTGATTATGTGTTTGTAATTAATACTTAATCTCATATCTCTTGACTGTGTAGTTCTTCAGTGGCACCTAGTGGCCATGGACCTTCTTCCCGTGCCTCAGCGGGAGTCTCCACCTTGGAATCCTTGGATGGCTCCTGGGAGGTGGTCGACCGAGAACTCCCCGATTGGGCCATCAAGCTCCAAACATTCAACGGTCCTCATCAGCGCACGTTTGTCTGTGTTCTTGGTTTGAGCTCACAACAAGCGCGCTTAAACAAACTGACGGCATTTTTTGGGGTTGCATTCTTGGCTTGGGCCCAGGAATCAGAATCTTGAACTTTAAACTCCCAATTTCAGCACACATGACGGTCAGTTATGCAATTTCTTGGTGTCATGGGCAGCTGGATCCTGAGGTCTCAATAGCAACAGTGTCTCTACGAAGCAACAGTCATTTGGGGATGGGTCAAAATCTGGAGCCCCACCACCACCATCTAGCGGGCAACCTCCCAGGTCAAGCAAGGTATCATAAGGTATCCTAATGTCTAATGTCATGCCATGCCATCGCCATGTTGTTTTGCATGATTGCAAAAACTCTATCAATCTCCGACACAAGGTAGTGGTCGCATAACTCTGTGAGGTGAACGGTCGCCGGAGCAGTGTTCTGGTTTCTTCAGTCCAGCTGTGTCTTGGTAGGCTGAACAAACATAATTTTCAGCCACCCAGGCCCAAAGGCAAATCTCTGACGCACCAAACCATCCAAACCTAAAACCTTCCGAGCCTTTCTCGTGACCGATCTTTCAGGTGCGAGAACAACGATGCTAGCTTGGCATGCTGTCTTCGGAATCTAGGAATTGACCGGTCTCCAGTCTCCGGCAGAAGGGCAACACCTCGGACCCCCTCTGTACCCAGTCGCCCTTGGCCCTCGCCCTCTGGGTGACCGTGACCCTCGCCCTGAGCTCATCACAAACTGAACTGTGTCATGGAACAAACACCTGTCAGTTGATCAGATGTCTCACACCTCTGAACTAACCGATGATCACCGATGATACACTATCACTACCGAAAACTAACACAAACCCTGGCAATGGCCCCCTGGAAGAGTGTTTTCCTCTACCAACCAGTGACTCAGTGGTTTTCAGGGTCCATGGGATCGTCTTCCGTGTAACCGTTCTGTCTCGTGTTCTTCTCGTGTCCGCGTCCTGCACCTTTGCCTTGTTTCCGCAACAGCCCATGGCTGCGATGCACGGAGAGGGATTGATCCGGATGCTGGAGCCACAAACTGAAAGGCGTCCGTCGGCGATGCATGGAGAAACGCCGGAGAAACGAGCTGGTGGTGGTTGGATGTTGGCGTGTTTGGTGGTTTTGGACGGAAGCGATGGCAATGGTGTTTGAAGATGTATGAAGGCAATGCCAGAATATGCAGAAAAGCTTGGTGAAGCGAGTTCGCAGGGGCTCATGTGCCCATTGGGCACGCAAAGTGATGACCCATTGGGTCGCATGAGTCAAGGCACGGGTCAAATGTATGGTGGGTTTAGAATGGTTTGGAAGCCTATACTGTTGGCCGGCATCAGCATCAAATTCAATGATCTACTATATACTGCTGCCTCAGCCACGTCATTTTCACTTGAGGGCTCGAACTTCACCAGCGGTGGAGACACTCCGCCCCAATCCCGGCAGAATAGCCTGTGTACGCTGGCGATCTATACTGGCTTCGAAAGCCTTGCAACACGAATTAGAGCAAAATCTGGGCAAAAGTGGGCAAAACGACGCCATGCTTTCAATGGCGTCCAACTACCTGTGCTGGCGATCTATACTGGCAGCAATCGAGTCATGGGAGACTCCGGCGTTTGCTGCAGCAACTAGGGGACTCCCTGGCGCTCAAGGGAACTGAGCAACCATCCCACCCCTCACTGGGTCATCGAACAGCAAAAAATCGAGCTCGCCGGGGCTGCTTCTTCAATCTGCGCAGGGCGAGAAGTCACAAAGGCAATGCAGTTTCCAGGATCCGGTTCAGAAGGACACCTCGTTTTCCTACCAGCACCCGACAGAAAACACGTCACCATACGTCACCTTGGTCAGCCAAAAGCCGAGACGACCGACCTGTAGGAGGTTCTGGCGCTGGTAGGACCGACCATGCGCTGAGTTTCATCAGACCATAAGCGCTCCGGTGGGACCCTGATCAGCGCTCCGAGGGTCCGAGAGAACGAATCGACCAGAATCGGGACCGGCTCACAGGTCCGAAATCGGACACCAAGCCCACCCATCACAGGGTCCAAATGTTATACAGTAGCTTAGTAGCTTCCAATAACACCAAATAGGCACAACATATGGCAGTTGGTTGGCCCCCGAATTCCACACCCTGTCCCAGTAGAATTTCTATTGAAAGTTCTTCACCAAAAAACGAACGGCGTACGTCGGTGGTGCCACCGACGGAACATCGGTAGTGCATCGATTTTTGTCGGCCTTCAGTGCATCAGTCACCGGGCTGGAGTCTTCAGTCAAGGGCGGTACAGAAGTCTCGGCCTGGGCGCACTTCGCTGTGGCCAGTGCCCTCCGTGAGTGAACTTGGCAGCCCAAAAGGTGCTCTTCCTGTACAATGTGGATGCTATCTTAGTCTGTTGAGTTAAGTTGCTAGAGTCTTGAATCTGTTTGTTGTGGGGCTGGTTAATTACATTCTCAAGGGAACAGGTTACCCCCACGGAGCAAGCCAAGGACAACAATTTTGTTGGACCAGGGCACAATATTGAGAACCCAATGGAACCGGCCCGTTTCATGTGACATTCCAAAGAGCGATCAAAATTGACGCTTAGATATTCAATCTTTACATGTACAATATAACGAGAAGGACCGTGCCATATTTATTCCACAGGTTCCTGTCCTTTAAAACAGCCCCGCACGCCTATAGCTGATCGTCCCAGGTTGGAAACAAGTAGGAGAAAAACCAAAAAAACAACGCACGGATGGTCCGGTCGTGTGAGGCTCCGCGTACGGCGTCTCCTCGCCTCGGTCACCGCGAGATCGGGCACCTTGCCCTCCTCCACGGCCGGATGTGGCACCTCACCGGTCGCCGCGAGCTCGGTCGCCCCAAAGCGGAGGAGCGGAAGACCGCAAAGGTGGCAAAGGAGGTCGAAACAGGAGGTTCATCCAAAGTTCGTCTTCAGGATGTGACTTCGCGGAATGGCAGTGAAAAACAAACTATATATATATTAAGATATCTTTTATAAAGATGTGTATAAGTGTATATAATATTTATATATAATCCGACATCATCAACTAAACCAGTGACCATCCAACAATGGGTGACCCATGGACTACCCTACACTACTTTCGGGATCTCAAACCCAGGAAGGATTATGTGAAATGGTAGGTTGGAAGGTTCTCCTGAAACAGAACCGGACAATTAGAGAAACACATGAACACAAAACCTGGTCGCACCCACGAACCCGAATGAACTGTTTAAATCTGTTTAACACTCCCGCGTGGCATTCTCCAAACATGGAACCATCTGAATCTGAGGAACCAAAACAATCCAAAACACGCTCGATTCAGCGTCTGGCTTTTCGAGCCCCACGGGCGGGTCCGTCGGAGTCGGCTACATGTCATCCCGGGCAGAAAAACATCGTCAGACCGAACAATCCCAAAGACTCCATGCATGAAATCACTGAATCACCAACGAGGTGCGCCCCTAGTTTGATGATGGTGTCGGGCATTTTCATCCCCCCATGAGATTCCATGGGAGCGGTCAGGTGTTGAAATTCTTTAGCTTGAAAATGAGGACACCCCAGCATCATGGATCAGACTTGCATTCTCTGCTGAGGAAAAAACTTCAGCACCAAACAAATGCCACGCTTGCGTGTTTTGACCCTCGCTTTTGATGTTTCCTTCTGTTATAGTTCTGTGTTTATTTACAGTATGCTTCTTAAATTTTGTCTGACTGTCCAAATCTTCAAGATTTCTCTTAATTCCATCATGTCCGATCATGTCCCATCGTAATCTCTGTCTAGAAAACGAAGGAGCTCTAGAAAATGAAGCGACGACATGCTTTTGCAAACATAGAAGCCTTGGACAATGACCTCGAGAGCATGCCTAGTTTCGATTATATACAGTAATTATGCCGTTTTCTGGGCTTGTCATTATTTATAAGTATATATAGTAAACTACTTTTCCTTAGACAATGCATAATATCCATGAGCCTAATGGGTTAGGGGTTCGATGCACTTCCTTAAAGAATGACGTTTTCTACGCACGTTGGCCCCTCCGCTCTCTAGGGCTAATTTCATGGGAGATGGAATTCGTGTCTCTGGGTGTGTCTTTTGATGCGTGCCGTGCCTTGTCGTTCTCGAGGCCGACACACGAATTCAATTCAATGAACCCCAAAGTAGCAAGCAGCTTGATCACGTTTGAGAAAGCTGGCAACAAGGTGGGTGGTCCGACCACTTGAACATGGCTACCCCGCCCCAAAGCGCCTCAACCTTCGCTGCCTTGCTTCCCTTGCAGCCCATGGCGGATGGCAAATGCTTTGTGCGAAGCTTTGGGAGGTTTGGACTTGCCAGCTTGAGCCCAAGAGCCCACACCCAACTGGTTCAGTTTTTTTTGGTGAGAGAAGAACCAAAAAAATATCACTACACGATTAGATACAATTAGACTGTTGGACCGTGGGAGTTTCACGTCCGACTTCCTGGCCGAAGACCGACCGTGTTGCACGTTTTCGTCCTCACCAGCGATCCAACGCCATAAAGAAGGAATTCTTCTGGGCGGCTTCAATTTGCAGCTGCATGTTCTCCAATGCTTTGCCCAGTGTAGTGGGCACTCACTCACAGGTTCTTGTTTTGAGAGGCCCTCGCTGTTGCTCAACGTATTCTACACTGAAGTCACAAAGTGCAGCAATACAGCGAAACAATCCGAAACATGCCCACAAGTAACATGCTCACAAGTGTTCGCTTTGCAAACGACCCCAAGCCGACTCCGAGCATCCACGGATTGATGTGCAAGTTTGCCCGTGACATAAGTGACTGATGATGACGTATGCACTTCATACGTGCTCTGCACTCCTCTTTGGATAAACTGTTATGGCCCCAAAAACATCACAACATCACCCCAACCTGGCGCGAATACCGCGCGAAGACTGCGGTCTGAAGCCACCCAATCTGGCTCGGGGTTACAATCTTGGCTCCCCGGCACCTGTGCATGTGCAAGCTGTGTCAAGGACGTGAGCCTTGAGCTTCAAACAAATTATCTCAAGAGGCAGCGTGGAGTGTGGAGCGGATCCCCGCCAAAAAACAACATGTGTAGAACATTGTGCAACACTACGTAGATCGGTGATGGCGAGCGAATGCTGGATGGAGGCGATTTCTCGCAGCTGCGAAGGGGGAAACATGAAATCATCCCGAAGAAGAAGGCACTACCTGTCTGTGGTGCAAGTAAAGGTCTGCAGGGTCTTGACTCTTGAAGATAGTTCTTTTGGCCCTGTCCTAATACCATATGGTTGAGCCTTAGAGTGACAAAAGGCCGCGCAACTGGGACCAGGGCAGGTCTCTCTCACTGCTCCATTTCTGGGCTTGGTTGGGACTTCACAGAAAAAACACTCAACAGGTCGCACCGCTCTCCACGCAATCTTTGCTGCATTGGCCACACTGTGCGGTTGGCTTAGCCCTCAAGGTTACAAAGCATTGGCGGACACCAAAGTTCAGTACATACGTGTGATATCCTGAATGTAGTATCAATCTCCGCTAAGTTGTGGGAGCGTCGGCACACCTGGCAGCCACCCCGACTATGTCTTATGAAGCCATGCCAAGCCAGCTGGTCGGACACCAGGGTTCCACTCAGCTCGTTACAGCTTCGTGACCTTGTCCATTCACCCCCGGGGACGCCCGATGACTCTTCCTTGTCAATTGAATGTCATTGTACTGCCCTGATAAGGAACAGGAGTTTTCGGGGCAAGCCCAAGCTTTGCAAGGTGAGGGGCATAAAAGGCATTCATTCAATCCTCCTTGATGGCAGGAGTCCAGTGATCAGAAGCCAAATGTCGCTTCGCAGCGTTCTCAGCTGTTCAGAATGGCCAAATGCAGCAAGTTGAGCGTCCCAAAAAAGAAAACCACCACAAGGTCGAAAGGAGTGCGAAACCGATCCCCCCAATGAGTGGACCATGCAACATGACATAACATGACGCCACTCACCGACATGAAGGCTCCCATAAAGCGCACATGCAAGAGGTCGAGAGGCCAGACCACTCATTTTCGATGGAAGTAGGGTAGGGGTGTTTGACCGAGTTCTTGACATTGCGTCTCACTAACATGAAAGGGGGAGGAAAGTCGTCTTCTCTGGGCCCCCTTCCAGCTCCATGTCAGTGAGTCGAAGGCTACCTAGTTCAACCACGTTCAACCCCAAAGCCACCAGCTCAAAGAGGACTACAACAATGGCTGAAACGCTTTCTCATCTTCCATATCTTGCGGATTCACTTGACCATTCTACGACAGGCTCTGATCGGAAACGCGATCAG